AAGATTATAAATGGTTGACTAGAATTGATTAGGTATTTAAGAATGGCCCATTATATTCAACCCATGAAGTTTCATTAATTAGTCAGAACGCATGGTAATAGTTAGTAAATACGTATATTAATTTACATGGCTATTTATGGTAATTTGAGACCTATATATGACCAACTTAACTAATTGTTTTATGTAAACACAACAATGAACACAAATATTATTGTTAGGTTCAAAACATTTCACATTCATATAGTTTTATAAATAATATATACTTATACTTATATTGTAAAATATAACTAGTGCATATCTCATGCACTTAGACGTGTCTAAATGGGACCCGGTCTGGCCAGGCGGGTTGCCGGGCCACAACACATGGGCCCAGAACCGGCCAGATATATGTATGGGCCGGTTCGATTGGACCGACGGTTCATGCTTGGTTGTGGAATTTTTTTTAAGAATAAAATGAACTTTCTTTAAAAAAATTAAAGAACATAACGTTCAAAAATCATAAGATTATTTAAGTTGACGACCATTTTCCTGGTTGCGCTTAGACATAAAAAAGGACTATCAACAGTCTCGGCTTTATTTAAGTTGACGACCCTTTCCCTGGTTGAGCTTAAACATTAAAAAAGATGGTCAACAGTCTCGGCTTCCATCAATTAAGTGCCTAAATTTCTATTATCATATCTAATAAGTATAACAATTAAGTGGATGCAGTTCAGAGAGCATGAATTCAAAATTATTAGTATACTACTTCTCATTTACCTCTCACCCGCAGTTGTTGGAGTTGTTCGTAATTGAAAACGAATATTTAGCAGATGAAATATGTATAAGTATAACAATTACCCACCATTTCGAAAGAAATCATGAGCTTTAAAAGCTTGTGTCCAATATTCTTGAGAATCGTTCCAAAATGGTTCGCTCTATCAGACACGGCTCCACCACCGCGGTTTATTTTTCGCGTGCAACATGACGGGAACAACCATTCTGCTCTCCGTATTGTTGCCACCGATTTTGCTCCAACATATTTATGAAGTTTATTATAGCAAATCAAAGCAGTAACATCATTACGCCAATGATGACACAACCACAGTCTCCATTATGCATCATGCTTCCAACTCTCTTATACGTTTATAATAGAGCTAGAAAGAGAAAGTACACAGAGACTATCATTAGCAATTTCAGGTACTGAAGAATCTGTATGTCAGTCTGTGTGAGTGTTCCCTTTACTGCCTAACATTTTATAAGTTGAGTTCCAATGGGTAGAAACGTCTGGTTGAGATTTTTTGCTTTCACACCTTGTTCTCTATAATATAGCTCCCATTGTTTCATTTCACTCGGACGACATTATAAATAAGTAACGGCATGCCTAATGGGCGTGAACGTATCTTTTAATGAATGAAAACCCGCTTGAACGCAAAGATAAATGAAATGACACATACACCGAATATGAAAAATTATCTCCCACAAAGAGGACAACAAATTTTCTTAAGCTCGTGCATATATGCAGTATTATTACTAGAATTTTCAAAATAAATGGATAAATTTTTCTACCAATTTTATAAATATTCAAGACCCGTTAAATTAAACAAGCGAAATTAGAAGCAGTGTGAGTACTATTAAATCCTATATAAGCAATTGGACATTTTTGTAATTTAAAACTATCATCTACCCAATAACGAGTAATTCACATTTAAAAATTATCTTGCCAATGGTCGGATCAAACATCACAAAAAATAATAAATTATTTTTTTTAAAGCTTCAAAAGTTTGCGCCAAAATTATTTTTTTCCCACTCACAATTTTTCTAATATCACAAGCGAGAGTACTACGTGAAACCCTAGACGCAGCCGGGTTTCAAGCCATTTGAGCAAAATTTTTATATAATTCAGAATCACCAAAACTGAAAGGAATAAAGGAACCACAAACAAATTCAAGTAGTTGTTTTCTATGAATTTCATATGAATATTTGAATAAAGTAGAAGACATACTGTTCATATCCGAGTTAGCCAGGAGGGAACAGGACGGAAGCGACCCCCCAGAACCGGGCTGGGGGCTCGGTCCAGCACGGAAGTGCCGAGCTGGACTCCGAAGACAAAATGACCAGCGCCATCACAGGAACAATCTTTGAGGTCGACACTTAATCAGAGGTGCCCGAAGTGCCGGCGTCACTAGAAGTCTGGCTGAAAAAAGGATCCAGAAGACCTACGGAAGATGAAAGTGTTCAGGAGCCGGCATGAAAGTTCAGTGCGGTTATCTTAGGGATGGGTGATGGGCTCGATAAAAATATAATAATGCCACTTGGGAGATCATCATTGGCAATTGGACAGGTCGTCATAGCCTGCCACCCTACAAGAATCTAACCCGACAAAAACCTGTCAAGCATTAAATGCCCCCATGTGTGCATTAATTGCCTGACATGTAATGATTGATAAAACCTCAAATTGCATTTAATAACTGTCAGGGAGGCGTCGGACTGCTCTGCATAAACACTATACGACAAGACCCGTGAACAGTACCTGAACAATGGCGTATTTAAGGATATTATAAATAGGAACCCTTGTCATTTATTTTGGGTTGTTGATTCTCAACTAAACTCCCACATCTCTCTACTTTCTCTCTCTAAAATTTGTAATAAATCCCTGTAATAACTCTATCTACTACACAAGTGCCGACCTCGTACGAGAGGCCGACCTCGTGATTATATAAAAAACCGTAATTAACCGCACTTTCTCTCCGTTTTCAATTATTTACCTTTACTAAACTTTATTTTAACCATTGATCGGATCCGTCCATCAACACATACCTATTGATGTATGACTACTCGCCGATCCGACTGGAAATTTTGTTTGGGTCGTGAGAATCCCCATTTTGCTCAGATGATGACATTGTATGTGTCGTGTCAGCATTCCATACCCATCACCGATTTTGAAAGTGTACTTCTTGGAGTTGGCCATACAATGATTGCAAATATATATATATTATTTGTCACTTTTTTTATCAATGGAAATCTTCTTGAAGTGGCATGGGAATATTTTAGAACTAGGACGTCCGCTGCTGCCGGCGTCCATCGTCCCCGTCCTAGTCCGTTGAGGTTGTTGATTTCCTCCACCTTGAGAGGGATCGGACTCGTCTTCGTATGACTGCTCCTGGTTCTCCTCCTCCAAATGTATGCTCTCGTGGATTTCTTCAATAGAGTGAAATATGTTTTGGACCGTCTCAAAATCAACGTCATCGGCAAAGCTCATAATGTCCCGGAATAACGTTTGTCTCAGCGTGGACAATGGAGGTCTACTCGATGAAGATTTGCCTACATTTTTACGCTTTTGTGGTGGCCGATCACCGAAATAATCACCACCATGACCACGAGAACTCAACATTTTATAACTAGAATAGACTTTATAAAATAAAAAGGAGAGATGAAAAATGATAGAATTAGAAAAGAGAGAGTACTATGTAAAGAACTTATAAAATCGGAACCGTAATGAGAGTGAATCTATTGAATCAGGAGATCTCAAGACCGAATTTGTATAATCGGACCAATTTATATAAAACCAAGCACAAAAATTAAATAATTAACACTTAAAGAGCTTAAAAATTAATAGAGAAGAGAGGTAGAAGTTGTGAGAGGTAAAAAATCTGATTTGGGAGGGGTGTGGGGGGAGAGGGTATTTATAGAAAAATTTTCAGAATTTTTTGATTTATTTTTTAATTCGGGACTTGTCGGGTCCGGGTCAAACGGGTCCATCAAATCTGGATCGTTGGATCTCAATGGTTAAAATGATCTCACGATCCGTTTTGAAAAAAGAATGTTGCACCTGACCGTTGGACCCATACGGGCCGGGTCAAACTCGGACCCAAAAACCTACCCGAACCTGCATTTTAAAAAAAACAACTATTGGAAATTTAATGGACGACCCAGATTTGATCTGGGCCAATGGTCGGGGGCGGGATTCGGGCCGACCCATGGCCATGTCCAGATGGATGTAGTGCTTTTAATAACCAAAGTCTAATATAATTGTGGGTTTGTGAGTTCATATCTGTCTTTCATGAGCCTGAGGTTGGTATTTTACACTAACACAGTCGAAAGATGAAAAAAAAAAAAAACTATTGAGATTGTTGTTTGATTGATTGATCAATTAATTTTTCTATACTTCTTTATTATATTTGGTAGCTTAATTTAAGTCACCATCTTATCAACTATTGAATTAAAATCAACTTATCAATTATGAGCTAGTTTATTAGTTATCAACTATATTTTCGATTAGATTTTATCAAATAAACCATAAAACACACAATAAAGTAAGGTATACTCTAAAATTGCACATATAATTAGTTGAACATGTAATATTTTCATCAAGTTCTATAATTGGGGATGTGATTTTGGTGCAGGGAAGAGCAGAGAGAGATGGCAAAACATTGAAACTTTGGCAAGGAACAATGGAGAAGCAAAATGATGAGGAGACTGCAGATTGGTGGAAAACAAATGGATGTTACAGACATGTGTAAAGGAAGCTTGGGAGGATGTGGTGTGCATAGTGGACTTGACAAGCACAAAGGAAAAGATGGAAGCCAATGGTGTACAGGCTTGGGAGGACATGATCAAAATGTACAGGGGGTTTATAACTCGTTAGCGAATATTCAAGACATATTTCTTACACTCCTTCCACGACGCAGACCGCATTCCAACAGTCTTATAA